TGTTCTGACAACTGCCTCTTGGTCCAAGTATAGGTTTCTCAGCATGATCAAGTGTTCTGGGAATCCCATTCTTCTCAGAGTCAGCCACAGTTTGTTATGATCCACACAGTCAAATTCCTTTGCATAATAAATGCAACACAGGTAGGCATTCCTCTGGTATTCCCTGCTTTCAGCTAAGATCCATCTAACATTAGCTACAATATCCCTAGTACCACGACCCCTTCTGAACCCAGCCTGGACGTCTGGCAGTTCTCTGTTGATGTGTTGTTCCAGTCGTTTTTGGATAATCTTCAGTAGAATCTTGCTTGCATGTGAAATCCATGATATTTTTCTATAGTTTTCACACTCTGTTGGGTCACCCTTCTTTGTAATAAGGATGATGGAAGAAAATGGTTGCCTTTTTTGTGGTGTTGGAGAAGAGTACTGAATATTCCATGGACTGCCGAAAGAACAAACAGATATATCTTAGAAAAAGTACAGCCAGAGTGCTCGCTGGAGGCAAAGATGGTGAAGCTTTATCTTTCTTACTTTGGACATGTAGCTTAGTGTGGCTATTCCTTGAAAAGAGACATCATGCTTGGAAAGATGGAGGATCAGTGAAGGCAAGGAAGACCCCAGGCAGATGAATTGACACGGTGACTTCAGCAGTGGGCTCTAATGTGTCAGAGATGGTGAGAATATCACCATATAGGGCAGGGTTCAGGTCAGCTGTTGTTCACAGGGTCACTGTGAGTCATACTCAACTCAGCAGCACCTAACAGCAGCAACACCAACCCTGCCTACCTCTTAGATTATGCTTCCCGAGTCATTTTCAGGCCTCTCTCCACCTCAGCTAATGCCATCCTTCTTGAGAGCCAGTGTGAAGGGCGTGCAAGGGTGTGAGCTTTGTGGTAAAAAATATCTGTGTTTGAGCTGTGAGTTTGACACAACTGAGCCTTCTTTCTTTTACAAAGCTTAATTAAAAACCTACTCAGTAGTGACGTTTTACGGCTTCATTCTTGGTTTAGTGCCTATCCAAGAAAAGGTACTCCTCTGAAAACAATCTCCTGCTATTCTTTTTTCCCTTGAAGCCCTACTGTTTCTATTTGAATACCTTTATTATATTCTGCTTTTAGATCCTATTTGGGTTTTTGTCCTATGCACAAGTTAGAAAGCCCCCTGACAAAAAGCTTTGTTTATCCTAATACCCCTGTCATGTTGAATGATGTTGTTGTTGATTGCCATCCAGTCAAGCAAGACGCATAGCTCATAGCGACCCTATGAACAAAAGACCTGAAGCCAAGTGCTTAATAAACATCTGCTGAGTGAAACGGAGTGGTGGTTCATGTTTTTAAAGCAGTAAAAGCCAGTTATGCATGGAAAGAGAAGTGGGCAGGCTTGTTTGGGGAAAGTAGAGTATTTGCCAGAAGTTGACATGATATTGAAATGCCTGTTGACCTCTGTCGTGTTCAATCAAAAATAGGTTTCCTTGGTTAGGTCTTGCTCATGTTTATGTAACTGAAGGCTGTGCGTGCATGCCTGGGTGTGTGTATTTTCTCTGTTCATCCTTAATCAGAATCATCTTTATCCTGTTGGCTCATCATTGAGACATTCCAGTAAACCAGTTGCAGCTGTTTTTATTACATACCATCAAATTAGAACCAACTCATAGCTGACCCTCCGGCAACACACACCCATATTTCTCCCCCAGAGCAGCAGGTCAATTTGAACTTGATGCCTTTGAATGGGCAGCACCACTCCTTACCAATAAATGACAAGAGCTCCCTGATTTCTCCTGATGGTGGTGGTTATTGTGTACCATCATGTTGGAACTGACGTGTAGCTGATTCTCAGTTTATCAGAGGCAGTAAATTGCACAGGAGGAGATGGCCTGTCCTTCTCCTGTGTGGTAGCTTGTGGATTCCAACCACACGCCATTGGACAGTGCAAGTCCTTAGCGCTAGGCCACCAGAGCATCCTGATCTCTGCAGTGTTGATCCTAATTCATGACGGCTCCACCTGGAGGAGAGTAGAAGTATATTCTCCACAACTTCCAGTGGCTGATATTTTTTCAGCATTAGATCACACGGTCTGTCTTCCAAGGGGGATGTACTTGTACCTCTGAGCAGACTTGATCCTCCAGCTTTTTGCTTAGCAGTCATGTGAATGAACCATTTGCATTGCCCAGTGACTCCTTTTAGACATTAAACTTCAGATTATTTTATTTGATTCCTAGTGAGCAGTCCATCTGTTCTAGGGTTACAGATCTCTGCACTTTCTTATAGATGAGTACCCACCTATGAGAGATGCTGTACCAAGTCACCCATTTTTGAGATCAATCTTTCTATTCTTATTAGTTGAATTGCTTTCTAAAACTGAAATGACACTGTTTTGAAGTATTGTACAGTCAACCTTTACAAAAGTCTTCAGCCAGTAGTTAAACCCAGTAAATAAAGTTTTATAAAGCACTGTCAAGGTTAAAAAAAAAGAAAAAGACTTATTGGTTCCTGCCACCTAATTTTTGGAAGCAGGAGTGGCATCCACTTCCTAAACAATATACCTCCAGAAACTCTATGAACTTAGATAAATGTCGATAGTTATAGAAAGGCTTCAGGCCTTTTGTTCATAGTATCTCTATGAGTTGTGCTCGACTTGAAGGCAATCAACAACAAACAACAACAATTAATCACTAGTGCAGCAGAATATTTTCTTGGGTTTGTGGCTGTTGATAGAGTGAAAATCTTTGGAGAGCATTTAGTCTGTTTCAAGTCTGTGTATGGTGCTGTTTTATTCAACTCTAGCCATTGCCATTTCTGATTCTAAATGGTGTTTTTCTCTCAGTCTCCTCTCTCTGGGAGACAATTCAATGTCAATTTGACCCTCAATAGAGAACGTTGAGAAAATTACTCATAACAGGACAGAGTTTCAGACTCATTTAACCTATGCATTTAGTGAATCCCCACGTATCAGTCAGAAGTCCAATTGGATGATGGGTTAATATGTACAAAGAAAATTGTTCTTTATTTTTCTAAGAGAAAGATGCCCTGTCAAACTCAACTATTGATTTTCTTTACTTTTGACAGGAATAGTTGGTGTTAGTCAGTGTGATTGTTATATTGATCTTGTGATTTTTTAAAATTAATTTGTTTTTTATTAATTTCAATGAACATTTACAGAGATTTTGGATTTCCATTCATTCATTGTTGCACTTTTCTCCCCGCCCACCCCACCCCCACCTTGTGATTTTTTAAATGAAAAAAATTAGTCTATTGAAAAGTTAAAATAATTTATCACTGGAGGGTGGAAGCAGAAGGATGAGAATGTGTGAGTGTAGGTGGATTAATCATGGGGCTGTACTATTTGATGAAGGGACGAGGGAAATTAGAATAATCTGGGCTGAAAAACAAGTATTTTAATTGTGTGAATAAACTAGTATAATAAAAAAGTTTAAAAAGTACTTTATCTCTATAAGGTAGATAATGTCTATCAACATTTCTTCAGATGAAAATGAATCAAAGTGATTGGCCAAGCCCAGAGTGCACAGTGAGGGAGGGACTGTGTCAGAAACCAGGTATAAAGGTGCATGCCAGAGATAGTGCAAAGGAGGCAAGAGGGGTTTCTGCATAGCTGCTATGAGGCCCTTGGGGAAGTAAACCCCTGAAAAGGAACGTTAGAGTGCTTGGTTGAATACATGTTCTACTTCTGCAAGAAAACATACACTGAAAAATCTATATTTCCAGCAAGTTTCCTGGAACTTCAGATTATTTTATTTGATTCCTAGTGAGCAACCCATCTATTATAGGGTTACATTGGTGGTGGTGATGGTGCTAAAAAAAACATAAAACACCTCATTGCATTCAAGTCAGAACCAAATCATATCTGACCCTCTAGAGTGTTTTCCAGAAGCTAAAACATCGCATGGGAGAGATTGTTCATCTTTCTTCCTCGGAAGCGCTGGTGGAATGAACCACCAGAGAGGCACCACCTTTGGGTGAACAGTGCCCCTCTGGACTCTGACACCAGACCTCCCTAAGAAAGGACCCATGGGTGGGCTCGAGCCACCAATCTTTCCCTTAACTGAATGTACTAATTGCAGCACAGAGCCCAGTTGGTAGAAGTTAGCTGTCAAGTCAGTTTCAACTAAAAACTCAAAGTGACCCCGTGTATGCTGAGCTGAACTGCTGTACATGGTTTTCAAAGTTAAGGCTTTTCAGATGCAAATCGACAAATTTATCTTCCCAGATGCCTCTAGATGAGTTTGAATTACATACTTTTTAGCTAATAGTTGAGTGTTTCACCATTTGTGCCACCAGGGACACCTGAGAAAAGACCTTTTAAAACTTGAATTTTAAAAGAGACAATAAAGTTAACAGATGAGGTTCTCAATGGTGAAAAGGCTAAGAATTATGATCACTTCAAGTTTTAGCACCTAACAATCATCTAGGGACTGAGCAAGGAACTGAGACGTGAAAATGAGATGCAAATGGGGCCGGAGGGACAAGCTCCACAGAGTTAAGACTTCTGGTTTTGATTGAGTTAGACACAGGTTGTATTTTAAGGAAGTTTTTATGCTGTGTTTGTACATAAAATTATTACTAAGGAGAGTAAAGAGAGCTCTGGTGGCCTGGTGGGTAAAGATTTGCACTGCCAACCCAAAGGCATGCAGTTCAAATCCACTTACTGCTCCGTGGGAGAAAGATGGGCAGTCCCTTCTGTGATTGACAAGCACTTGGCCTCAGTTAGAGTCTTCCACAGCCTCTGCACTTTGCTTACATACCAACTTCACTTTCCATGTCTCTGAAAACCCTTGGGAGCTGCAAGTCAGTTCCTACTCAGCAGTACATAACAACAACAAGGGAGGTGAACTTGGCGTATGTTGACAAAGCTGCACAAGAAAACAACTTCTCTTTCAACTATGTGTTTAATTTCAAAGCATCTGCATTCGGCCACATGTATGAAATGTAAGATTCATTGTGTATATACTTAAGATGAATGTTTTCTGATTGTTTTCTCTTCCACAGTTATGCAGATGCACTACTGGCCATTAAACTTGAAGCTTTATCCCAAAGGCAGGATAATTTAACTTGGAATGAAATTCAGAATTGTATTGATATGGTTAATTTCGAGATTCAGGAAGAAAACGACCGTAAGTATGCGAGCACTTTCCTTACTTAACATATGACGGGAGGATCCAGCGTCTGGCCAGTTTAGTTCTCTAGATAGGGCTGCAAGTTTTTGCTGATGGAAATTTGTGAGCCCACACTCCATCAATGTTATGTGTGGTTTTATGTATAATTTTATGCATTTGTTTATGTACCAGCATATTATAAATATTACAAAATATATAACATTATTTTGTGTATATATAAAAGTCATAAAGGGATAGAATTTTAAAACTACACAAATAGAAGTCCTAATTTTTTTATATTTGTTTGTATTTATTTGTATTTTAGAGATCACTGCTCTGGTTAATGATTTAAACAAAAAATAGTATTTTTTTTCCATTTTGAAACATTTTCGTTCCCTTCCGGCTCCCCTAAACTGACCCTGCAATGCACCCTTGGTTCCAGATTGTTGTCATACATTTAGTGTCTAATCATATATTTCTCCTGGACAGTTCCTCCCCTCATCTGTTCCAAGGCAGAGTTCATTATCTGTCCACTTTTCCCCCCCTAATCTTCCAGTGCCCCTCCATGTCTCTCCTATTTTATAACAGCGGTGTTATACAGTGTTTGTCCTTTATGACTGAGATATTTTACTCTGCATAATGTCCTTCAGGCTGCCCCATGTTGTGTAATGTTTTACAAGTGCGTTCTTCAGTGCTGCATAGTATTCTGTTGGGTGAATGTACTATAGTTTTTCTATCCATTTGTTATGGGCCCTTGAGTTGCTTCTCTTTGCTCTTGTGAATAATGCAGCAATAAACAGGAGTGTGCATACATCTGTTTGAGTCATGGCTATGGTATCTTTAGGGTATATTGCCAGTAGTGGAATTGCTGGGTTAAATGGTATTTTTTCCCCAACTTACTGAGAAAGACTACTTTCCATAGTAGCTGTACCATTTTACATTCCCACCAGCAACCTTACCAGCATTTGTTTTGTTTGCCCCCCTGTTGAACTTTGGTATTCATTCTGGGTAGTTAGTGACTTTTTAAATACCCAGCTTTATTTTGATCTCTCAGTTAAGCATTTTTCTGAAACATAGCACATATTCCTGCTCTAGGAATGAAGGCATTTGGGACACGATCTCTTGCATAGTGACCACACATTACAGCTATCTGTTGTGTGTCTAGAAATTTTGAGCTGTGAGCTACCAGGGTAAAAAGGCACCAGCCATAAGTTGAGCCTGAAATGTGCTTTCTTAAAGCTTTTCCTTATCATCTGCCTTCTGCTTTGAAAAACAGAGTGAAGAATGAGGAATGATATAACTGAAGCAGTCCGTGTTCTCACTGCTCCTTTAGAGCATTGTTGTTGTTGTTATTGTTGTTGTTGTTATGTGCTGTCAAGTGCTTGCGACTCATAGTGACCCTATGTACAACAGCCCTAAACACTGCTCTGTCCTGTGCCAATCGCACTGCCTCCAACACACCGATCCTGATTGCCCCAGTCACTGAATCAATCCACCTCATAGAGGGCCTTCCCCTCCTGCGCCGTCCCTCCACCCTCCCAAGCATGATGTCCTTCTCCAAGGACCGGTCTCTCCTTACAACATGTCCAAAGTATGTTAGACGGAGCCTCAGAATCCTTAATTACCAAATTCAAGCTTTAAGCTGTTTTTCTATCACACGTACAAGATCTTCTTTGATTTTCTCAGAGCTCTTTGAATTGATGGTAGCATTGGATTGTTGGGCTGTTACGGGGCCTATTGTGTGAATTCTGATTCACAGAAGCCCTGGATGACAGAGGAGAACTGCCTCATATAGATGGCTAGACAGAAATTCCTTCTGGGAGCATATCGCCAGGTCTTTTTCTCCCACAGAGCAGCTGGTAATTTTAAACTGGAGGAGATTGCCCGTCTTTCTCCCTCAGAGAAAGGGGGCTTCAAACCATTTGCCTTTGGATTAGCAGTGCAACTCCTTACTAGCAGGTAACCAGGTCCTAAACATTATACTGTTGTTGTTGTTGTATACCATAGAGTGAGAACCAACCCATAGCTGACCGTTTGGTGAGTTTTCAGAGGCATCACTTTGATTCACTGAACTGATAAGAGTATAAGCAGATACTGTCAGTCTTTCTGTCCCACACATACAGCGCACACACACGCACACACCCACATTTTAAGATCTTTTGCTGTGTTATGTTATGGTAAGGTTTTAGGCCTGTTCTTTTAATGCTGTGTGAAACTTGGGATTGTCCATTCACTCTTAGTAAAACATAAGTTTGTTAGTTAATTGCATATATGTGATTTTTCTTCCTTTTTATTCATTTGGTTACTATTTCCTGTGAGCTGCACCATAAATCAGAGCTAGAGGTGTTATAAATCCTGGTTTTAATCCTGGCTTGTTTCACTTTGGGCTCTGAATTTAAAACAGGGTCAGATCCACATGTGCTGCCTTGATTTATCTACCAAAGATACGCCATCGTTACAATTCTGTAATGGTACTTTTCCCCTACATACTCTTCGTCTTGTTCTTTTTGAGATGTGCACAGGTCTAAATTTCCTTTTTTACATCTGCTCAGCTTTCTGCTGCCTCTTTGCATTTCTTCTCAGTGAGGTTTTGACCATTCTCAATCACGCAGTCATATAGTTCACTATGCCAGCAATAATAAAATGAAGAGGAATCATCAAAAAGAACATTTCAAGAGATATCTGCAACAGTGTTTGTTAGAGATCATATTTGTACACATATCAGTGAGTGGGGTAATGGAGGTGGGTGTGTTAGAGATGACAAGGTTGGCTTTGGATAGAACAGGGTTCAGAGCTGTTTACATTGAGTCTCTATGAGTCGTGAGCAACTTGACGGCACATAACAACAACTGCATGAGGAAAGCCTACTAATACAACTATTATTCAAATTTGCATACCAATGAAAAGCCAAAAATGAAGAAATTGATGAGTTTTTACCAACTTATCCAGTCAAAAATTGATCATTCAATCTAAGTTTTTAATAATAGTTGGTGATTAAAAAAAAATAAATTCTTTGTACATAAAAAATTTTTTCCAAAAGATACTCTGGGAAAAAATATTGCAAATTGGAAACAATGTATCTAACAATTTGTAGAAAGCTCCAGCACCTCAACAAGAAAAAGAAAACAACCCAATTACAAAATGGGCAGAGCACATGAGAAAACATTTCACCAAAGAAGATGTTCCAGTGGCCGACAGAAAGATGAGGAAATGCGCAACACTTTTAGCTATTAGAAAGCTGCAAGTCAAAACAACAAGGAGAAACTATATCACTCCAATAAAAATAGCAAAACTCAGTAAGAAAATAAACAACAAATGCTGGAGATAATTAATGGAACACTAGGACACTGCTGATAGAAAACAATTTGGTATTTCCTAAAATGTTGGCAAGAGAAATTCATTTGATCCAGCAGTCCAAGTATGTAAAACTCTCCTTAATTGCCATTGAAGTCAGACTGACTCATAGCTGACCCACCAGGAGGTTTTCAGGAGGCTGTAAATCACCTGGAAAGAGATTACCCATCTATTTTCCTTAGAGCTGCTGATGGATGTGAATGGCCAGAAAGGCTTTCCTCCATTGAGCTGGCAGTATAAGCCCTTACAGACTATGCCACCAGAATTCCAATGAGATAAAAGCTGTGGCACAAACAGCTGCACACTCATGTTTATTACAATGTTATTCACATTAGCAAAGAGGTAGAAATACCCCAACTGTCTATCCGCAGACAGATGGATAAAGAAAGTGTGGTACATTCATACAGTGGAATACTATGCAACTCTGAAAAACAATTAAGAATCCACCCCACATAACTTAGAGGATAACATGCTGTGTGAAAGAAGTCAATCACCGAAGTAAAAAATATTGAAAAAGAATATTTCTGAAGAAAGATTTACATACAAATAGACTCATTCTTTTATTGTTACCAAGGGGGGGGAAGGAAAGGAGAGTAAAAATTAATAAATAGATAAAAGCCTTTATTGAGATGAGTGAAGGTACTGGCAATATAGCATAAATGAATGATCAAGTGTAGGTATTGTAATTAATGTTATAACCAGACTGAGTGAAAAATCAGTATGCTTTACAAACTCTCATTCAAATCATACCAACAACAACAACAACAAAAATAATAACTGGGGGTTGGGATAAAAATGTTGGGGTGAAAAGGATGAGGATTGGTAGTTGGAAAGCAAATGTACAAAAACCTGGAGTTAGAAAACCAAAAGTGAAGATCACACTTAGCATGTTTCAAGCTGAAAGAACTGAGGAAAAAGTGCAAGTCTTAAGTTGCAATACTGAAGAACTCTATGGGGAAAATACTGAGTGATGCAGGAAGCATCCAAAGTTGATGAAGATGGCAGGGTTGTAAACTGGTACAACCACTATGGAAGACAATTTGGCATTTCCTCAGAAAGCTGAACATAGAAATTCCATATTACTCAGTTACTCCACTGCTTGGACTATACCCCAAGCGAATGAGAACTGAGGCACAAACAGAGACTTGTACACCAATGTTCATAGCAGCATTATTCATAGCAAGACCATGGAAACAGCTCAGATGTCCAATTATAACAGAATGGATTGAGAAACTGTGTACATTCACATAATGGAATACTACACAGCATGCAGGAGCAATGATTTTGTAAATCACTACCTATAAGGGAAAAATACTGTATAAGATCCTTATTGTAGAATGAATAGGAGGATCCAAGGAAGGGGCACAAGGGGCGGGGTGGGTAATTATAGGGTCACACAATTGGATGGGTGGAGGAAGGCAGGAGTGAAGGAAATGGGAAAGATCTGGTGTAAAAACCAATGTATTTGAACTTTGTAAATAAACCAGCTGTTGTTATGTGCTGTCAAGTCGCTTGCGACTCATAGCAACCCTATGTACGACAGCTCTAAACTCTGCTCTGTCCTGTGCCAATCACACCGTCTCCAATACACCCATCCCGATTACCCACTGAATCAATCCACCTCATAGAGGGTCTTCCCCTTCTGCACTGTCCCTCCACCCTCCCAAGCATGATGTCCTTCTCCAAGGACCGGTCTCTCCTTACAACATGTCCAAAGTATGTAAGACAAAACCTCAGAATCCTTGCCTCCAAGGAGCCACCCAGTTTAACCCTTTCCGGGATGAATCTGTTTGTTTTCCCAGCAGTCCAATAATACTCTTCTCTAGTACCACAGCTCAAAGGCATCAATTCTCCTTCTATCCTCCTTAGTCATTGTCCAACTCTCTGATGCATAACAAGTGATAGC